TGGTGGCCGCGGGGCCCCGGGGGTGTCGGGGGATCCCGGGGGATCCCGGGGGGGGGATCCCGAGGAGATCCCGGGGCGTCCCGCGGCCTCTCCCGCACGCGCTTCCGGTACAGGCCCCGCCCACACAGGAAGCGCCGCCATGGCGGATCCGGAAGTGTCGCCCCGGAAGCGGCGCGGTGACCCCGGCACGTGCGGGGCCGGTTCCGGTTCCGGTTGCGGGCGGTTCGGTTCCGGGGGGTTCGGGCCCGGCGGGAATGGAGAATGCGGCGCTGCCACGGGCGGCTGCGGCCCGGGGGGCAGCCCTTGCCAGGAGGGGAATCCCAGTGCCGGTGTTCCGGTGTCCCTGCGGCCGTTCCCTCCGGGCCTGTCCTGGCCCTGCCAGCACAGCCAGGCCCCGCTCCCATCCCCTTTGGCCTCCTGAGGCGGTGATTCTCCCGAAATCCCAAATTTAGCTTGAGAATCCGAAGGTTTTCCACCACAGCTGAGCTCAGATCCAATCCCGACTCCGGGTTTTTCCGTGGCCTTGCCCGAGGCCGGAGCTCGCGTTCCCCGCTGCCCTCCCTGCGGCTCCTGGATAATCCTCCTCTAGCTTTTCCTTCTTTTCCTGGATAAATTTCCCCACGATTCTGTAACTCCCGTGTGCAGCTTCTCCGTGATTCCCTTCCCACCACCCTCGTGCAGGTGGTCTCCCATCTATCCCCTGGAATTCCCTATGGAATTCCCTATGGAATTCCTCTGTCCTGCCCGGAGCCTGCACATCTGCGCCACCAAAAGCCAGAAATTTGGAATTAATCAAATTCCATCACATCCTAGGGATCCTCGGGAGTGGCCAGCACTAATTGCTCATCACTGCGCGGACACAGAGTGAAACCAAACTCTGGTTTGGTTTCACAACAATCCCAGGACCTGGAATTGTGGAGTTTTTGGAGCAGCAGAAGCAGGGTCTGGAATTGCCGTTGATAGAACACCAGATCCTTAAATTCCCTCTGTTCCAGGATTCCGTGACTACACGAGAGGGGTGCAGGAAGAGCCCAAAGCCAGAGTTTTGGGGTGAAGTTTTCTCCAGCTCATCCCTTATCCAGAACTGGCCCTTTCCTCCGCCCGTGTCCGGCAGCTCCGGCCCCGCTGGCGGCTGCGGGGTCACGGCGGTGACCGCGGGGCCGAGGTCCAGGCAGGGCAGGGACAGCGGTGGGGACAGCGGTGGGGACAGCATGAGGCTCTGCCTGCTCTGTGTCCTCACCGCCGCCCTGGCCGTGGCCGCAGCGGCCGGAGCCGGAGCTGACCGCGGCCACTCCGGGGTGGAGGCACGGGGGAGAGAGGTGGGCAGCGGATGGAGAGGGGTAAAACCGGGAATAACGGGAATGTGGGGAATGACAGAGTTCGGCACAGCCCCGGCTCCGCACCCTGCCCGAGAGTCCGCAACAAATCCCGGGACGCGGCTTTTCCAGCCTCCCTGTCCCTGCGGGAACGGGCTCGGCATTCCCGGCCCGCATTCCCAGCGCTCCGGGAGATCCCGATCCATCCCTTCCCCCCGCAGGGCCGGCGGCGGCCGCACAGACCCTGCTCCGGCTGCTTCTCCGTGCTGAGCGAGGTGAGCCGGGATGCGGGAATGCGGGGATTCGGGAATGCGGGAATTCGGGAATGCGGGAATTCGGGATGTGGGCTCGGGGGAAGGTGGCTCCCACAGCCGCGTCTGTCCCGCAGGAGTCGCAGTCGATGCCCTGGAATTCCCGTGAGGAGGATGCGGCTCAGCCGGGCAGGCGGGCACGGAACGGGAGGGGACTGGAGGTACCGGAGCGAGCCCTGGAGCTGCCCGGGAATGGGGATGGGAATGGAGAGTGGGACGGGACGGGACGGGACGGGACGGGACGGGACGGGACGGGACGGGACGGGATGGGATGGGATGGGATCTCCCTCTCCCGGAGCTCCGTGTGAGGCCGCGCTCGCTCCCGCAGGGCAGAGCCCGGAGGGAGAGCCCGGAGCCGGCCCAGCCCGCGGGACACCCCGGGCACATCCCGCTGCTGTAACAGGTGACAGCGGAGCCCCAGCAGGACCCCAGGCCCGGGGGGGACCCCCGGCAGCCCCCGCGGAGCCTCGCAGGAGTCACCGAGCGGCCGAGAGCGCGGCGGGAGCGATCCCGGAGCCTGGGAACGCTGCTGGGCACGGGGAGCAGCCCCACGCCGGGAGAGAGCTCAGCCGGCCGCCCCCTGCTCTGAGCTGAGCCCCCCGCCCGTCCCACCCCCCAAAATGCTTCTGGGGCGGCTGCCCCCGCTTTGCCAAGCCCCCGAATAAAGCTGGCACACCAGAGGGAGCGGATGCGTTTGGGGACACACGCAGGGTGGGTGGGAGTGGGGGGACACCGGGGGGCTGAGCCAACCCGTGGGGTGTCTGCACAGGGGAATTGCGGGGGGACCCCAGGGACCGTGGGGCTGGGGGATCCTCCAGGGCTGCTGATCCTGGAGGTCCCTCAGGAATGTCAGTTCGAGAGTATGGGAAGTCCTGCAGAATGCTGGAGCACAGGGATGGGGAGACCCCCCAGGAATGGGAGGTGGGGCTGGAGGACCCTCCGCAGCCATGCCGGTCCCGGGGAACCCTCTGGGCTCCCAGTTCAGGGGAATGGCGGATCCCCAGGAATGCGGGATCGCAGGGATGGGGAGATCCCGCAGGAATG